AATGAACAACTTAATACATTATCCCTCTTAGTAGTTTTTTTTATCTGTTCTACTTAATATGACTGGTTTAGATCTGTAATTGATGCACAGTTATCCTTAAGTGTTGAAAATTAACTGAAATGTGATCCCTGTTGAACATGGTGGTGGGAATGGGAGAGGGAAGAGATGTATAATTTGGGACATGCTCAGGCTGACTTGCCCCAAGTGGTGGAGTTGGAAGCATACCAGGGGATTCCAATTCAATCCCATCGAGGTGGCATGTACCAATGCCATCTCACTGTTCCAGGTGATCAGTTTCAGTTCACAGTTGGTCATGGTGAAGGGACTGGGAGTCAAGGGGAACACATAGACAGGTCTAGTACCTGCTAACGCTAACCGATGGAGTAAATAAAGGGGAGAGTGATCCAACATGGGAAGTGAGATACTCAGCAGACTCATAGAATGGCAGATGTCCTAAATAGCACTCTGGCCTCAGAATCAGCCCTAAAGGCATTCGGAGCTGGCTGAAAAGCTCATGAGAGTATTTCAGGCATGGAAAGCCAAGACACTCTGGCAAAAGATCTCCGCGAGTGAGATCCCAGTGGAAAGAACAGGTCTTCAAAGAAGGAGGTACCTTTCTCTGAAGGGAGGAGAGAACCTCCACTTTGACTATGACCTTGTCTAAACAAGATAAGAGTCGGAGAACTCAGAGGGCTTCCATAGCCTTGGAAACTCATGACTGGAGCATAGAGAGATTACTGATGCCATAGACAGGAGTGTCAATTGGTAAAGTCAACAACAGGAGTCACTGTGCACTTACTCCTCATGTAGGATCTCTATCCTTAATGTGCTGTACATTGAGATTTAATGCTATAACGAGTACTCAAACAATATATTTCACTTTGTGTTTCTATGGGGGTGCAAACTGTTGAAATCCTTACTTAATGCATACTAAACTGATCCTCTGTAAAAAAAAAAAAAAGAAAAAAAAAAAAGAAATTATCAATTCCCAACTTGACTCTCATTGGGATTAAACATGACAATAGGTCTGTTCTTATTTCATCATCATTTAAAAAAATCATCTATTATTTTTCACTTTATGTTTCTGTGTGGGAGCAAACTGTTGAAATCCATACTTAATGTATACTAAGCTGATCTTCTGTATATTAAGATAATCGAAAATGAATCATGATGTGAATGGAAGGGGAGAGGGAGTGGGAAAGGGGAGGGTTGTGGGTGGGAGGGACGGTATGGGGGGAAGCCATTGTAATCCATAAGTCGTACTTTGGAAAATTATATGCATTAAATAAAAGTTAAAAAAAAATGCATTCAAAAAAAAAATTAATTTATTAATTTATTGTTAAATTATTGAGAGACAAGGAGACAAAGTTGTCAAAAACTGGTCCACTCCCCAAATGCCTGCCAAAACCAGGGGCCAAAAATTCAATCCAGATCTCCCATGTGGGTGGCAGGAACCCACTTACTTGAGCTGTCACTGCTGCCTCTCAGGGTCTGCATTAGTAGGAAACTGGAGTCAGGAGCTAAGCAGTGCTGAGTGCTGATCCAGGTACTCTAAAATTGAAATGTGGTGTCTTAACCACATGGCTAAATGCCTCCCCCCTCCATATTTTTTTGTGACTGAAACATTTAGGAAATGTCTTAACCAAATGAGAGAAATTCAAAATACAAAATAAATAGTTGGAATGACCTTAGTAATTCATACCATTAGTTCCTGTCCGGGGAAGAGTACCAGGGGTCCTTGCAACCACTGTGGGCTCAGTGGCTTTTCAGGACTCACAGAACTCAGGTCACGGCCATGACTTATTACAGTGTTAGTTTTTTTAAAAAAAGATTTATTTATTTATTTGAAAGGTAGAGTTACAGAGAGGCAGAGGCAGAGAGAAAGAGAGAGAGGTCTTCCATCCGTTGGTTCATTCCCCAAATGGCCACAACAGCTGGAGCTGTGTCAATCTGAAGCCAGGAGCCAAGAGCCAGGAGATTCTTCCAGGTCTTCCGCATGGTGTGGGGCCCAAGGACCTGGGCCATCTTCCCTGCTTTCCCAGGCCATAGCAGAGAGCTGGATCAGAAGTGGAGCAGCAGGATCTAAAACCAGTGCCCCAATGGGATGCCAGCACTGTAGGCTGCAGCTTTACCTGCTAAGCCACAGTGCTGGCCCCACAGTGTAAGTTTACAAAGCTTTATAGTGCAAACTTAGCAGGGAGATAAAGCTCTTAGGGCAAAATCCAGTGAAAACCAAGAGGAAGCTTCCTAGAGTTCTCTCCTAATAGTGTCACATAGGACATGTTTAAATTCTTCAACTACAAGTTGTGAGAACACTTGTAAAATTTTGTCTACAAGGAAAGTTCATCAGACACATAGTACCCAGGATTTAGGTACCCTCTGCCTAACACATTTAGAAATTGTAGATACACTAAATAGTAAAGTAGGTGTTCACCAAAACCACATTATTTGTATAAACAGTTTAAGTACAGTGAGCCACTCTTAATGGAAGAAGCTTACATGAGGAAGAAGCCATCTCACAGGAATGAAAAACCAAGAAATGAAGAGAGCTACTATCTGAATGACTTTGAGCCCCTGGATCCAAAAATGCATTTCCTGGGGCTTCTAAGTAATATGAACCAGTAATTTCCTCTGTTGCAAAGAATACCTTAAGTTGGTAAACGTAACAGAAATATCTACCCACAGGTCAACACTCAGCATCTGGTCTGTTTAATAACTATAAAAGGGAAAAAAGAGTACATTTTCTAGTTCGGGAAAAAGACCTAAAGAAGAGTCTAGGTATCCTGGTTCTAGTCAAGTGTTCATATCAACCTGTTACTTTGACCAGGGAGATGGAGTATTCTAGTTGGTTAGGCTTTGTCTTACAGTCATCCTGGGGTCTGTAAAGAGATGGGTCAAACTTCTCCCCACACCCCCACAACTCCCCATGCACATGCCCTCAGCATTCCCTAGATTTAACAGTGTTGTTGAGGAATGGAGGTGGAAGTGTTTTGTCAAAAAAGTTCAGAATAGACAAGAAAAAAAACAAAACGTGAGTCTGCCATACTCGTATTGTCCTAGCCAGGTTATTCTGGTGACATAATGAAACAGAGAAAACAAAATGAACTTTTAATAAATACAATCAGTTGTCAAATGAGTAGAAATGTATTAGTATAATTCTTTTTAGGTACCATCTTACAGAGAAAACACTTCATCATCTAGCACTGATTTATGCAGCATTGGTTTCATCTGGGCTAAAATCTGAAGAACTGGATGTAAAGGTATTCTTTTCCAATATGTACGTTTGTAAGTATTTTTCATAAATGAAAATTATTTTCAAATTCAAATGCCTGCTGGGAAGAAACATTAAATGGATATATTAAAAGCTTCTTAAAAGCCCAATAAAGAACAGTTTCAAATTAATAAATATTTTTACCACTTAAATTTCTGTTCTAAAAGCTTTTAGTTTAATGAATTTAAAACTTAAATCATTGTTTTTTAATTTCTACTTAAAATATTTTTTAAAAATTGCAGGATATGGTTAAAAATAAACATTCATTCATCAAAAATGTTCCTTATGCAGTATATACTAAGTTTTTATCTACTGTAAAATGGAAATCTCTTGACATATGACAGTGTGTTAATAAATTGTTAATTTCAAGTCAGTCTCCTTTCTTGGCCCTCTTCTTCAGCATCCTGCTCTGACACTTAGATAGTTGTCCAAGTTCAGGACTCAATGCTCTTCTATTACCACTTTATATTCCTTCCTTTATAAACTCAGACGTTCCTATAGATGTAGCTTTCATTTCTGAGTATAATTTTCCAACTTATCTTGATATTTCTTCAGGTCTACACCTCCATTCTAGCAGTCTACTAGAAATACCTACATGAATATCCCAGAAACACCTCAAACTCTGATGTTGAAAACACGCAATAACAGGGGGCGTAGCAGGTTGAGCTGCTGCCTGTGACGTTGGCATCCCGTATGGGCACTGGTTCAAGTCCTGGCTGCTCCACTTCTGATCCAGCTCCCTGCTAATGCACCTGGAAAGGTAGTGGAAGACAGCCCAAGTGCCTGGACCCCTGCCTTCCAAATGGGAGATCCAGATGGAGTTCCTGGCTCCTAAAAATTGACAGGAAATGGAGATTATTAGGAAACTCCTTTTCAGGGTTAAGTTACACACACACACACACACACAAAGTTTTGCCAGGGATGTCTTAGAATCAAATATACTAAGATTATATGAACAATTCCCAAAATACTGGGAATGACTACTTTAAATTAATCTTTTTTAATATGACATCAAGTTTATTTATAAGTATCCTTTTTTCTTTTTTTAACACTTTATTTCAGAATAGTTTTACATTTACAAAATGTAATCTTTATTTTTTAACTTCTTTAAAAATATTGTTCTATATTTTAAAAATTCTTACTTTCAGTTAACTGATGTTTAACCTAGAAAAAGCAAAATATTAAATATTACAGATGTATTCAAATTGCTGATTCTTCTATTGTAGATGAAACATAACACCAAATAAATGATTTTATTATAAATGTCAAAAGAAAGTGAAGGAAAATAATTTAATCCCAAAATATTGGAAAACACAAGGATATCATATTTAAAGAAGGAAATAAAATAGCCTCACAAATAAAATGTCCTGGGTTTCATGTAGATAAATTCACAATTATATTTAATATATTTTAATGATTAGAATCTGCTATTTTTAAATTTTCTCTTCTGGCCAAAGACTATTTTTAATATTACATTTTGCCTCCTTATCTTTTCTATAATATAACATATAAAAATATATTTTTTAGCTTGTAATTGCCCCAGGAGTAGAAGAGGCTGCATTGATAATTCGACAAATTGCTGACCACAATTTAATGATCTCGAAGAAAGAACCTCATGATTGGTTGGATAAATCTTGGCTTGAAGTTTCACCATCTAAGGTTTATTTCCTAAATGTATAAATTAGATATTTACAAAGCAAATATAAATAAAAGGTGTCTTCAAAAAGTTCATGGGAATTACATTATGGAAAAATTATGGATAGATTTCAATTTTTTGCACCAAAATAAATTTATCTTTTAATTCCATTTTCCCATGACTTTTAAAATACCCTCATCCATATGCTTGAATTTCTTTTCTGAATTTCTTGAATTTCTTTTCTTGAATTTATTGTCCAGGTGTCCCAAATTAAGTGGTTGGTGTAATGACAAAAATTTTAATCTGCTAGAGTAGAACAAAATAGTCTTTCAAAAGAGCAGTGGCTGATTGATTATTCTTTAAACTATTTTCTAGGAAGAAATGTATTTACTTGACTTCCCATGTATTAATCCACTGGTGGCTCAGCTCATGTTAAATAAAGGACCTTCTCTGCATTGGATATTATTAGCAAACCTGTGTCAACTTCAGGAAGTCCTACCTGAAGTTCCAGAAAAAGTGTTAAAGGTTAGTTATTTGAGATCCATATTCTTGTATCAGTTTCTGTCCTTTCACTTGAAAATCTATTTTTACCTTAGAGTTTTCAAAATTAATGTCTGAAAATTTCATTGTTTTGGATTTCACAGAGAAATAATTTATTTGACCTGAGTTTCTCATTAGCTGTAGAATTCTTAATTAACTATCAACCACATTATATATTTTAAAGGTATTTCATATAGGCGATTCAGTTAGGTTAACACCCTTTAAATCATTTTGAAATGTTATTGTGCCACAAATAGTAAATTATGCATCCTATTTACATTAATTCACATTCCCTCTTCCAAACAGTCCTGGTGACCTTCATTAGGGTAGTAAATAGAACTTTAGTCTTATTGGTATTATTTTAAGGAAACAGTACTCATATATAACTTATTTAACTAGAAATTCTGTTACACTTGCTGTGAACCAAACGGTGCTCTAAAAAAATAAAGGCTATTAAAAATTCCATTATAAGTGATTAGAAAACAGATGCAAATTATGTTTTTCTTTTAATGGAACCTAATTATTTTATGTTCTTAATACATGGATCAATGTAATATCTATGGATACACTATTTATATATATTTTGCATTGATAAAAATTTATTTATATGTATGAAACTTATTATTTGTATTATATTGACTAATTTTTTAATTTTTTAGCATTTTTGCAGCATTACTTCTTTATTCAAGATTAATTCTTCTTCCATAACAAAATCACCTCAGATTTCATCACCTCAGGAATACAAGAATCAGAGTTCAGCTTCCGACTTTTCAGACCCTATCACTGAACGATATAATGAATATTACCAATATTCAGATTTAGGAGAGAGAGCACGAGAAAACACAAACACCACTTATAACACTTTTCACGAGGAACTAAGAGAAATGCTTCCCACTTTATCATCTGCAAGTTCTTATAACCAGACCAACTACTGGAAAGACTTCAGTTGTAGCCCTAACGTAGTACAGAATAATCCTTGTCCAATTAATCTGGAATCAAGGAAAGCAGCTTGTAACTCATTTCTAAACCAGAATGACTCAGGCTCAGATGTCTTTTCGTTGGGTCTAACACAAATAAATTATGAATCCACAATACCACCAATTGACACTCAGAGGAGAGCTACCCCTAGTTTTATAAATTATCAGGAAAAGCAGATACATGAAGCAAAAGGCTCCAAAAACAAGGAAGTATTTGCCCCCATCTTTTCACTAATGGGCTCTCAATCTCCTCATTTGAACCGTAAGAAAAATGTGTGGGAACCACAGACTCATTCATTCAACTTACAATGTGGCATGGAGCAGACTACGTGTAACGAATGGTACTCTCAGAAAGGTAATCTATTCGCTGACCAGCAGCAGTATCTACCAGACCAGTTAGAAGGCTTCCCTTGGGAAAGTTCAAATGCTGCGACTGAGAAGACTTTCAGGGGAGACATACCATCTGTTCCCAGTTTAGATTTTTCTCCTGCTTCTAATGTAAATCAGAAAGAATCCAACCGTAGCCTTTATTTCTACCAAGGAACTGGGAAATGTTTAAGTCAGAAAAGGCACCTTGAATCTTCATCTAACTCAGGAGACAAGGAATCATTAACAGGTAACACAATTTAATGGTCAATAAAACTACTCTCAAATTTAATTTTAATAGATAAAACCATTTCCAAATTAAGAAAAAAGATTGTTCTAATTACCTCATTTTAATTTCTACAAAAAGTTTTGGATCAAGGAGAAAATCAAAACTTCTGGGTTTTATTTTAGAGAAATAAATACAAAGAGCATACATCTACTTTTTTAAAAAAACGTATTTAAATATAAATATTTATTTGAGAGGCAGACAGAAACAGAGAAATTGAAAGAAAGGTTTCTCATCTGCCGGTTCAGCAACAGCCCAGCCAGGCTTTGCTGTGTTATTGTAGGTTGTTTAATTCTAACAAGTCTATTAGGTTCTACTATTAGCTCCATTTAGATGGATTTTTCTAAAAGATTGATTGATTGATTGATTTGAAAGGCAGAGTTACAGAGAGATAGGGAGAGAAAGAAAGGAGATCTTCTATCTGCTGGTTCACTCCCCACATGGCCACAATGGCCACAGCTGGGCCAGACCAAAGCCAGGAGCCAGGAGCTTCTAACTGGTCTGCCATGTAGGTGCAGGGGCCAAGCACTTGGGCCATAATCTGCTGCTTTCTCAGGCACATTAGAAGGGAGCTGGATTGGAAGTGGAGCAGCCGGGGCTCAAACCAGCATCCATGTGGGATGCCAGCATTGTAGACAGTTGTGGCTTTACCTGCTACACCATAGTGCCAGTCCCTGCAACTTGTTAAAAGGACAATTCTGTTTTCTCATTTTTATTAATTACACCTTTTCTTTCTGTGTGATTCTTAGTCCACTGACCTGATCATCTAGAACAAAATATTACGTTTTAATGCCATACAAATAGGGCCTTATCACTATGGGGACAAAAAGAAGTGGGGGGAAGAACTTAAGCTGCAAAGCATCTCTTTTGCACAGATCCTTTGCCTTTTGTGAGAGGAGCCCAGAAAATCTTGTATTCTTTTTTTAAATAAAAGAGAAACTCTACCTTTTTAAATTATTATTTTTAATTAATTTATTTATTTGAAAGCCAAAGTTACACAGAGAGAGGAGAGGCAGAGAGAGAGAGAGAGAGGTCTTCCATCTGATGGTTCACTCCCCAATTGGCCGCATCGGTCAGAGCTGCACTGATCTGAAGCCAGGAGCCAGGAGCTTCTTCTGGGTCTCCCATGCGGGGGCAGGGGCCCAACGACTTGGGCCATCTTGTACTGCTATCCCAGGCCATAGCAGAGAGCTGGATGGGAAGTGGAGCAGCCAGGTCTTGAACCGGCGCCCATATGGGATGCCGGCACTTCAGGCCAGGGCGTTAACCCACTAGGCCACAGTGCCGACCCCGGTTATTAAACATTGAATAGCTCGCTCCTGATGCCAGCCCAGGCTCTCCCAAGCTTCACAGTGAAGGACTAGGACCTTATCATCATTAATATTCTCTGTGTTGTGTCTCATTGTTCGTGTTTGTAAACATGCCAGAATGAATTCCAGACAGATTCCTGAGAAGATTACCCTGTAAAAAGAAATATGTCTTTAGTGAATATGATCTCCTACAGATTAGAGAATATAAATATATGAGAAAAATAATCAGGTGGAAAAAATCTGCAGTCAGGAATAGAAAAGGCAAACTAAAAATTTTTTTAAAAAAGAGGGAGAAATTGACATAATTACATACCCTCACCACACAGATACACAGATAGATACAGAGGAAGCAGTCAGTATGTCTTTGGATTGGATTCAAAGTCTGTCAGAGTGAACTTCTAACCTGTATGCTAATTAATGAGGATGTATTAGAAACCTTCAGGCATACCATAGAGATGAAGTAGTCTAACTTCTCATTCATGAAGAGAAATTGAAGTCCTGGGAGATGTAACTGTTGGTACAAGGCATGAGCATACAAATATGTGTATTGAACACTACCTTCTAGAGGCCGTCGCTGTGGTACAGCAGGTTAAGTTGCCCTCTGCAGTGCCAGCATCCCACAGGGGCACCGGTTTGAGTCCCAGCTGCTCCACTTCAGATCCAGCTCCCTGCTAAGGTGCCTGGGAAACAACAGAGGTTGGCCCAAGTGCTTGACTCCATGTGGGAGACCTGGAAGAAGCTACTGACTTTAGTCTGGCGCAGCCTTGGCTGTTGCAGCCATTTGGGGAGTAAACCAGCAGATGGAAGATGTCTCTCTCTCTGTCTCTCTTCTCTCTCTCTGCAACTCTGCCTTTCAAATAAATTAATTAATTAAAAAACTAGTTTCTAATACTGGGTCATTCAGTGCAGATGCATTTATGATTAAAATGTGACTTTTAATAATTATTTTATCCCAGGGTGGAAATTTTAACAACTCTAGGTAGTTATCAAAGAGGATCTACCTGAATAGCTGGGGAAGGAGGAGCTATATTTTATTATTATAAGCAATAAAATGGTTTTTATTTTTTCTCTTTTTAACAGGTTTCATGTACTCGCAACTACCACAATTCAAGAAACGACGTCTCACTTATGAAAAAGTCCCTGGTAGAGCTGATGGACAAACCCGGCTGAGGTTTTTTTGAAAAGTAGAAAGGACAGTGATTCATGTCATATTTCACTGCTTTTGGTGAAAATTCAGTAGCAGAATTATTTAATTTGCTCAGACATTAAAGAAAATGCAATTATTAAATATTCTCAGTGTTTACATCTTAAATTGTCATGCCTAATTGCCCTACTACTAGCATCTTTGTAAGTAAAATATTGAAATGTATCAGTTAGTATAATAATTATAAGATTCAAAGTGTCTTCCAGATTCACGGAGACATCACAAACCTTTTAAATGCGTCTCTATCACTGTTTGAGCCTCTCAGTCAAGAAGTGAAAATGACCAGCTGCAACCCTGCAACACCAAGATCTAAAGCCTAGGGCAAAATTAGGGAGTTTTGAAAAATTTTTAAAAGTTTTATGTATGTATATATGTATGTATTTATGAGGCAGACACAGACAGGGAGAGATTTTCCTTCCACTGGTTCACTCCCCAAATGCCTACAACAGCCAGGGCTGAGCCAGACCAAAGCCGAGAGCCTAGAATCCAATCCAGATCTCCTGCATGGGTGGCAGAGGCCCAAGCACCTGAGCTGTCATCTGCCACCTCCCAGGATGCGTTAGCAGGAAACTGGATCAGAAGCCAAGTGGGTGGACTTCAACTGGCGCTCTGATACAGGATGCTGGTGTCCCAAGTGGCGGCTTAACCTGCTGCACCGCAACACCCACCCCTATTCTACTTTCTTTATTAAAGCTCTGGTAAGATTGCGCCTAAACCGGAAGAGCTTTAAGCCTTCTTCTGGTGGGTAAGGCTGAGATCTCGCTGTTTGCAGACAGCCTTTACCCACCATTCATCACCTTCCCGAGAAGAGGGGTTTCCTCACAGGCCACGGGTCAGGGCTGTCAGGGGACGCTTACGTTACTCCTATGGGAGGCAGTCCTAGTGAAAGAATTCAAAACCATCTGGCACGTACAAAGCACTCTGTACTTGTTTGATTTTATAGGTGAAGCCACCTCTCAGGGCACACTTACAAGTGTGGAACTGTTTTTTTTTTTCTTTACACAGGCTCTATAGTGAGTGTGTGTGCATGTGGGTGTATAATATTATTAAGAATTTTTTTTTGACAGGCAGAGTGGACAGTGAGAGAGAGACAGAGAGAAAGGTCTTCCTTTTCTGTTGGTTCACCCCCCAATGGCCACTGCAGCCGGCGCGCTGCGGCGGGTGCACTGGGCTGATCCAAAGGCAGGAGCCAGGTACTTATCCTGGCCTCCCATGCGGGTGCAGGGCCCAAGCACTTGGGCCATCCTCCAGCAGAGAGCTGGCCTGGAAGAGGGGCAACCGGGACAGAATCCGGCGCCCCGACTGGGACTAGAACCCGGTGTGCCGGCGCTGCAAGGCGGAGGATTAGCCTAGTGAGCCACGGCGCCAGCCTATTTAGAAATCTTGAGATAAGCTTTTCCTAGACAGAGAAATAATTAGATAAATCAAAACTAAAGGGACCTTTAACAAATATTTCTTAGACACAGGATAATAATCCCAACCAAATTCTCAACAAAGGACTTTGGTCTGCAGTTCTTGGAAGGGGCAGAAAGAATGGAGTGTGCCTTACCTAACAATAGTCATAGCCCTGTCTCTTCTCATGAAAGAGAAAAAACATTCTGAGACAGTGTATGTGACAGCTCCCATGTGCAGGCTTTCCCCATAATTTCTCATGGCATCGTAACCTGACCACCATCTATAATGAAACTATCAATATAACCAATCCATCATTCATTTTCTTTTTTTTTTTTTAGATTTATTTTATTTATTTGGAAGGCAGAATTAGAGAGGGAGTAACAGAGACACTACCCTCTACTAGTTCACTCCCTAAGTGGCTGCTACAGCTAGTCCTAGCCAAAGCCAGGAGCCTGGAACTCCACTACTTTCCCAGGAGCATTAACAAGGAGCTGAATTGGAAGTAGGGCACCTGGGACTTGAAGTGGCGTCCATACGAGATGCCCGCATAGCAGGCAGCACCGCAATGCTGTCCCTCAGTGAATCCATTGTTCGTGGTTGTCTCTACCACCTAAATAGAAGCGACCTATGCTGGTACCAAAAAGCTAGAAAAGGGATTCTGGTCTAACAATTTCTACCTATTGAATTTTAGCATAATTCTGAAGAAAAGTGTTTTTATCTTTTTTAAAGATTTATTTATTTGAAAGAGAGTTACAGAGAGAGGTAGAGACACAGAGGTCTTCCATCAGCTGGTTCACTCCCCAAATGGCCACAACGGCTGAAGCTGAGCCAATCCAAAGCCAGGAGCCAGGAGCTTCTTTCAGGTGCAGGAGCCCCAGGACTTGGGCCATCTTCAGATGCTTTCCCAGGTGCATTAGCAGGGAGCTGGATGGGAAGTGGAGCAGCCAGGACTCGAACCTGTGACCATATGGGATGCCGGTGCTGCAGGCTGGGACTTTAATCCATTGCACCACAGTGCCAGCCCCAAAGTATGTATCTTTGAAGCAGAAAGAAATTGAAAATTATACCATTTGATTTAGATAATATTTGACTATCATCTGTGAAATTCTAACTATCAGTAACTCTAAATTTGAGGAATATGGTGATAGAAGATATTTATGGTGATAGGTAGATATTTATTATTTTTAAGTCAACTTAGTTAAGCTGAAACTATTACTTCCCACTTAGTTCTGGGGAAGCAGGAGCCACAAAAGACATTTTGCATAAGATTTAAGCAGTAGAAGTAAAACAGCGGCTATTACTCTTTTACTCTTGAGAGACACATGCACATATCTAATATTTACACATAACATATATACTTGGGAGTATTCTATATGTAAACACAAGTTTTTCGTATTTCACATGTCATGGATATCCTTCTAGGTTGTATTTGTTAAATTATAGGCCGGCGCCGCGGCTCACTAGGCTAATCCTCCGCCCGTGGTGCCGGCACACCGGGTTCTAGTCCCGGTCGGGGCGCCGGATTCTGTCCCGGTTGCCCCTCTTCCAGGCCAGCTCTCTGCTGTGGCCCGGGAATGCAGTGGAGGATGGCCCAAGTGCTTGGGCCCTGCACCTGCATGGGAGACCAGGAGAGGCACCTGGCTCCTGGCTTCGGATCGGTGCGGTGCAGCGGCCATTGGAGGGTGAACCAACAGAAAAGGAAGACCTTTCTCTCTGTCTATCTCTCACTGTCCACTCTGCCTGTCATAAAAAAAAAAAAAGAAATTATAGATTCTATAATAATAAAAAAAAAAGTGGCTTGACACTGAGAGATTTACTTCTTGATCACTTTCTCAGGGCAGGAAGGGTACTCTACTCCACAGTCACGGAGAGAGAGACCGTCATCTTCAACGTGTGGTTTCCAAGTTACCCGGGATAGTTACTTCCAGGCAGCCAGCACACGTGCACTAGCCAGAACTCGGGCATGGGCCACGTCTACCTAGAAAGCAGCTGAGAGACGCAGCCCAGCAGGGCGGCCAGGAAGAAACCGAAATGCGATTTGGTGATGAGCTACAGAGTCTGTGCCACAGTCTACCAATCTGGGCACCAGATAACCATTCCCTCTGCTCTCACCCACGTGGGATTCCCTCAGTCTCACCTCGGGAGACGAAGCAGGGCTGTGTGGAGTCCCCGCAGAGAGCTCAAAGCTCGCTTTCCCGGTCATGCTCATCGTTCTCCAGCCGGCCTGGATATGGCTCCTTAAGGGTTGGGACCTATAGACCTTTCAGTCACTCTCTTTCATTCTCCCCACTTCTACCCTACAAATATAAAACACACAGCACAGACCTCAGTAGACACTCCATTTAGGTGGAGGAAGAATGGGAGACAGCGGCAGCATTCTGACGTCCGGCGTGCAGGCACAAAGGCCCTGATTGAACTCTGGAAGAAAACCCTTGTCCATGGTTCTCCATGGCCTCCGCCTCTGCCCTCTCCAAGTCCGCCTTTATTCATATTCTCCTCGCGCTCCCTCAACCTGCCTCCTGACAGGCAAGCGCAGGGGCCGGAAGGCAGGAGGTCTGTTGAACTGTAAACAGTTACAGGTCCCATTATTTCTCAAACCACTTCGAAGATTTCATAAATCTGTTTGTTTCCAGTGAGTTCCAGGAACTAGTAACTGCATCTAAGGTTCGTTCCCAGAACTTATCCTCATGCCTAATTTATTGTTTTTCTTCCTTGCCCCAACCTCTCAAAACTTAATGACCGCTAAGTTGAGGCCATTGGGCTTGGTGGGGCGGGCACAGCTGTAGTCTGATCTGGGACTCCCCAGTCTCCCTCTGACTGGGAGTTACTGGGACATTGCCAAATTAGTCTCCCAGGAGGTTGTGGCCCCTCACGCTTTCACACTAGTAAGGTATGAAAGTATGCAATTCCCCTTGTCATCGCCGGCAATGGTATACAGCAGATGGTTTACAGCTAAGGGAGGGCTCCAGCGCCAAACTGCTTGGCATTGGATACTGGTTCTATCGTCCATCAACTGTTTGCTTCTGGACAACATTCAGCTTACCAGTGCCTAACCCTCCACATCTGTGAACAGGAGGTGAGGAAGACATTCTTATCTCAATTACAAAAATAATTATGAGAAAACTAAGACCCAGAGGATTTGAGTTAATTGGCTCAAAGGCACACAGATTAGGAGTAAATGACCTAACACAAGGAAACAAACTTCAAATCCATGTGCTCATTAAGTGTGAATTACTGAGGCCAGCGCTGTGGCGTGGCGGGTAAAGCCACAGCCTGCCATAAGGCCACCAGTTCAAGACCCAACTGCTCCACTTGTGATCCAGCTCTCTGCTACGGCCTGGGAAAGGGAAGATGGCTCAAGTCCTTGGGTCCCTGCACTAGAGTGGGAGACCCGGAAGAAGCTCCTGGCTCCTGACTTCGGATCAGCATAGCTCCAGACATTGCAGCCAATTGGGGAGTGAACCAGCAGGTGGAATACCTCTCTCTGTCTCTACCTCTCTCTGTAATTCTTTCAAGTAAATAAATTTAAAAAAAGAAAGAAAATTGGCTGCTCCTTATCACCCATGAACCTGTCCCATTTGTACAAGAGTGCCAGGCTGGCTCTTTCTCACTCCCTCCTGCCCCTGCCCCTGCGGCTCGCATAGCTTCTTCCTGTCCTGTGGGCATTTACTCTCCATCAACTCACCAGAATCGAGCATATTGCCTGAGCCTGTCATCTCTCACATGCATGGCAGATGCTTTTCTCTGTCTTTTGTTTTTTCACTTTGTAATGCCCCCCTCCCCGCAAGAGTTGTTAATCGCCGTGGGCGCCGCATCCCCGTCTGGCAGCCACAGCTCTCAGCAAGCTGGTGGTGCTCCCGCACTGCGAGAGCGCGGGGAACCTGGGGATCCTGGCTGGCGCCTCTCCACCCCGCAGGCCAGGAGCGGTTGAAGCGCGGCGGGCAGGCTCTGCGAGATGCTGCTCCATCGGCGCTGGATGCAATGGGCAAGACGAGGCTGCCGCCCAGCACGGCTGGAGGCGCTCCTGAGGTGCCCCCCTCGGCCTCCCACAGCGCCTGACCGTCCCTTCTGCAGCGGCATCAGTCAAGAATGGCAGGTGCGCAGCCCTCTTGAAGATCAAGCTGCCCTCCGGGAAGAGTCTGAAGGACGCTTCGGCCAGAGCGCTGGCCTTTTGGAAAGCAGCGCCCCAGAGGAAGCGCACAACCGACTCACTAAGGGCCCACTGGAGTGTGAGAGGGAGGAGTGGCGTGGCGGCCTGAGCGAGGAGAGCCGGAGTCGCTGGTCCCCGCGGGGGCGCCCATCATCCCAGTGCAACCTGCAGGGCCACTGCCCCCGTGACCCCAGAAGGCTGGGATCGGCCCGAATTAGGCTGATGTGATGCATTTAGAAACAAAAGCCCCTCTGGGGTTCCTAGTGGCGGTTCAAACTGCCCCCCATGTGGTCAGCAGAAAATAAGGCATTCCTCACATCGGTGGGGGCTCAGCCTGGTCTCTCGGGGCAGGAGTGCGTCCTGCTGCACTCTGGCTAAAAATATTCTAAGTATTTGAAATTATTTTTTCATCAAAGTGGAAATGGGATAGTTTCCATCTGTGGCCATTCGCCAGAGTAGAAAATGCTTATTTTTCTGTATTTTACATCCAGCCAGCCTCTCAAATCTGACTACAAATTCAAGTATTTCTTTTACTAGACTCTCGTGAGCTTCCAGACTGTACAACTGTATAATCCATAACAATTTCTCCAGAAACATTTACATAATTCATTTTTCTTACCTTACCCTGTGACCTAAGACTTTCAAAGCAATGCTGATGGAGTGGTGATAAAAGGTCCTGGCCTATTTCTGATAAGCTGAATGCTTCAACAGTTCACCATGTGGTGTGACATTTGCTATTGATTTTGATACACTGCTTTAACAAGTGACTTCTTTCTACCCCTATTTCACTAATTCATGTAAGTGTCTGTTTGCTGGGAGGCAGAGATAGGGAAAAAAAAAAAAAAAAAAGGCTACAGGAAGAGAACTCCCATTCATGGTTCACTCCCCATTTGCCCGCAATGGCCAGGGTTGGAACAGGCTAAAGCTGGGAGCCAGGGACTCAATTCAGGTCCACTATGTGGGTGGCAGGCACCCAATTCCTCCTCTTAGGGTCTGCATTAGCAGGGAGCTAGAACTGGGAGCCAGAGCTGGGACTTACACCAGGCGCTCCAATTTGGAACAGGGTCATTCTAACCAGGAGCTGAACTCCAAACACCCACTACTACCTAATTCAGAACAGATACTGAATTTAATCAAGTGACTTTTTAGCTTATACCACTTACATAATGAATTACATTGACAGATTTCCTGATGTTAAACTAGTTTTCTCTTGAAACACTACTGAATTTGGCTTGCTTATATTTAAGCTATTTATACCTTTACGGATAAGGGAGATGTCTACATTTTCTTCCTGTACTATCTTAATAAAATTTTTGCTAAAAAGGAAAGTGGAATCAAGAGAGGTTTGTTTGAATGGAGGTTTTTAAAAAAGTGTTTATTAAGATAGAGAACTGGAGGTTTAAATGCTGATAGAAATGATCTAACCTGGGGCCAGCACTGTGGCGCAGCAGGTTAACACCCTGGCCTGAAGTGCCAGAACCCTTATGGGTGCCAGTTCGAGAGCCAGCTGCTCCACTTCCCGTCCAGCTCTGCTATGGCCTGGGAAAGCAGTAGAAGATGGCCCAGGTCCTTGGACCCCTGCACCCGTGTGGGAGACCCAGAAGAAGCTCCTGGCTCCTGGCTTCAGATTGGCACAGTTCTGACCATTGTGGCCAATTGGGGAGTGAACCATCGGATGGAAGACCTCTCTCTCTCTCTCTCTGCCTCTCCTCTCTCTGTGTAACTCTTTCAAGTAAAATAAACAAAACTTTAAAAAAAAATAAAGAAATTATCTAACCTGTGATGTAGCAGGTTGATCCCAAAGGATGCTGGTTCAAGTCCCAGCTGCTCCACTTCCAATCCCACTCCCTGCTAACGTGCCTGAGAAAGCAGTGGAAGATGGCCAAATGGTTGGGCCCCTGCCACCCATATGGGAGACTCGGAAGAAGCTCCTGGCTCCTGGTTTCAGATCAGCCCAACTCCGACCATTGCAGCCATTTGGGAAGTGAACAGGTGGATGCAGACCTCTCTCTTTAACTCTGCCTTTCAAATAAATAAATCTTTTTTTTTAAAAGGATCTAATAAGGCAGATGAAGAGAAAGGAAAGGATACTTGACAGTGACATTTCAGAAAAGACACAGTAGGGGGGCTAGGAAAGGGATACCCAATGGGAGGGATTCCGATCGCTGAGATCTGGAAGTTCAGTGGCTAGAAGTCAAGAGTGTCTATCCAATGGCTTCTCTTTTCTGTACTGTAATACTAGTTGCGTTCTATATATAGGTATTTCAAAATGCAAATGTTGCTAGTAATTGGGATATTTCTTCACATATACATACATCTATTTTTCAGGACATTGTCAAACTTCTAAGGGGATTCAAAAACTTTCGCCTCCCACTTCAGTACTCAACCTCACAAGGAGAGAGCAACCCATGACACCTTAAACAAAATCAGACACAAAATGTTGCTGCCATAGAAAATGACTAATTAATCAGAAATTTTTATTCCCAAGCTCTTCAAACATTAAAGCACAAAGCATCCTAAAAGTGTCCCATGTTAACTCAAAGGCACATCATCAGAGTAGAACATTTGTGACGTGAAGAATTATTTTAGGTATTAATATTTTTACATTACTTTGTTTTTAATCATGTGCAACGCTCTGTGTGTAGGTCACATTTTAAACATTTTTTAAAGGCATTCTTTAAAAGTACAGCTACAACTACAAAGTAAGTGAACTTAACAAGACAAAGATCAAATCTTCTTCATACACAGAATGGGGCAACCTAATACCCAAGATAACGTTAACCTTGCCAAACAAGTTTCCTATGAAACATCTCCCACGTTTAGTGTTATAAGTGAAACAATTTTCTCCTTTAGAAAAATCAAGACATCATTTGATTAGTAAAACCTACTCTGCCCCCGAATTTTATCCTTTCTTATCTTTACTTAGTGGCTGTAAATTCATGAGAAAAAAATTTTATTATGGTATCAAAATCTTACAAATACTCATTTTTTAATAAACAAAAATGTTTTTCTCCCTAAAATGTAAATATTCAGTACATACAACACATTCCAGGTTTAGAAACACCACTCATTCACTCGCGGAAGGTGTGTGACTTGGTGTATTTGGTGGTAAGGGTTTTGTCTGTCTTACTATAAAGCACTTCACCATGCCAATCAGGCCATTGTCACTGGGCTCCTTTATCTGAGTAGAAACTCATTCCTTTCTGTGGGACTTTGGAGATGGGCCCAGGCCACAGGGAAGGTCTGAAACGTCTACAAGTCATTCGGCTGCAGGAAATGTCTTCTAGAGACTTGGAGGCAGTCATTCTTCACTTTGTGCTCGAAGGCATTGCTCGGCGAACTTCTTCCCTGCTGGAAAGAGAATCTGGTTGGTTTTCAGTTGAGTAAGATTTAGTCTGAAATTAACTATTCATCATCTCACAGGACACTTTAATATTCACCCAGGAGAAAATAACAGAATAAAAAAAAAAATCCAAACCATACCATGGGAGAAATGGCACCCATGAAAATGCTCTGTAAAGAAAAATGCTATGCAAACACGAGAGTAGTATTTTAATGCCCATTTTCCATTAAAAGGTACAACTGTACCTGACAGTAGGATTACTTCCTTCTTTTAAATGTGAAAATTTTCCTCTTGGAAATATGTGAGAAAGGACACAAGATGATTACTTACTATACAAAACCACTTAGAAGACATATGCTCTTAACCTTTTAAAACAAAATAGTGCAGGGCCGACACTCTGGCAAACCAGGTTAAGCAGCCGCCTGGCTGCCGGCACCCGGATCAGAGCACAGCTGCTCTGCTTCCCATCCAGCGTCCTGCTGATGCGCCTGGGAAAGCAGCAGACGACGGCCTGAGTGCTCGGGCCCCTGCCGCCTCTGAAGGAGACCCAGACAGAGTTCCAGGCTCCTGGGTTTGGCCTAGCCCAGGCCCTAGCCGTTGGGGCCTTTGGGGAGTGAACCTGCAGATGGAAGCTCTCTTTGTCTTTCTTCTCTCCTTTTCTCCCTGTAACTCGTCAGAGAGAAATAAATATAATAAATCTTAAAAGAAAATAGTGAAAATGTGAATAAGACCTCAACACATGACATTTGAACCCATACAATCCAATTTCTAAAATGCCACCAGAGAGGTGTTTTCATTTCAGTTATTTATTTATTTATTGAAAGGCAGAGTTAGACAGTGAGAGAGAAAGACAGAGAGAAAGGTCTTCCTTCCTTTGGTTCACCCCTCAAATGGGCACCACAGCTGGAGCTACACCGATCCGAAGCCAGGAGCCAGGTGTTTCTCCTGGTCTCCCATGCAGGTGCAGAGCCCAAGCACTTGGGCCATCCTCCACTGCCTTCCCGGGCCACAGCAGAGAGCTGGACTGGAAGAGGAGCAGCCGGGACTAGAACCCAGCGCCGCAGGTGGAGGATTAACCAAGTGAGCCACGGCACCAGCTCCTCATTTCAGTTATTTTAAGCTCTTCTAACCCTTGTCATGCTTTCTCTTCGGTAGTTACATTTCTTCTTCCATTACCACATAGAGATATGCTCTGAAAGTCATCCGGAGAGAAATCACAGCTGGTGGCAGGCACAGTGTCCCCCTCTGGGAGCTCTTTAGTCTCAAGAGCTCCGCCAAGTGGCAAATGACAACTCTGAGATGGCGGAAGAACAGAGAGGGTGGGATTCAGGTCATGACACTGCTCCCAGCCCCTTCAGTCACAGAGCTCAAGTACTGAAGGGTATCAGCCTCTCACAAATCAACTGAGACCCTCCCGGTGAGATGTGTTCTGAGGGCTGGGTAGCTACAGACAAGAGGCACGCATCGGGGAGTCATACGTTTCGCGTGGTAGCTGTGCAGACCTCGGCTGCCCAAATCCTTTGGGAAACCCCGTGATGGACGGTGCCATGGCACCAAGATGACCCAGCGCGACATTACTTACCGGTGCTCAGAGCAAAGCACAGGAGCGGGGCTCCCGGAAGGGGTTGCTTCCGGCTGGCACGCCCACCAGCAGCGCGTCCTTGCACGCGTTCTGCATGCAGTACTGCTGGAGTTCGGCGGCCGCCTGGGAGACCTGCAGCGAAGGCACGACAGGGTGACTCGGGGCTCGCGGCCACATCCACCCCGTCCTGAAAAGGCTCACACCACCTAACAGCAAGAGTGACCTCCACGTCTCTTTGCAGAGAGTTCGCCAATAACTGAATTCCGAGTGCGAAGATTATGATTTCTATGAACTTCAATTGAGGATTTTCTAAATTTCATTTCCTATTCAACAAAGGTTAAGAAAAACCTGGATCTTTGATCCATTTATAATACTAGTTTTTGAGACTCAACTGGTAAAGAAATAGCTCACTCTATTGTTCCCTTTACAAATTTTCAATTACATAGAGCATGCATGATAAATATGCTTACCCAGTGGGCAGACTGTTTTAATAGTCACCAGGCTCAGCTTTATTCAGCCTGTTCCAAACAACCGCTAAGTTCTCCCATCACATGGCTGAGTGAGTTTAGCTTACTAATTAAGAATGCAGAGGCAGGTGTTTGCTGTAGGGGTTGAGACGCTGCTTCAGATGTCCGCATCCCATCCCCGACTCAGGGTCTGAGCCCCAGCTCCACCTCCAATTCCAGCTTCCTGCTGACGCTAGCACCATGGGAGGCAGCAGTGATGGCCAGCAGTTGGGTCCCCGCCACCCATACAGGAGACCCAGGACTGAGCTCTCAGCTCCTGGCTTCAGCCCAGCCCAGCCCAGCCATGGCTGCCGCAGGCATTTAGAAGTGAACCAGTGGGTTGGAGGATCTGTCTTATCTGTCTCTGTCCTTCTCTGCTTTTCAAAAAATCAGTAAGTGCTAAATAAATAAATTCACGGGGCCGGCGCTGTGGCTCAGCGGGTTAACACCCTGGCCCGAAGCACCGGCATCCCATATGGGTGCCGGTTCTAGTCCCGGCTACTCCTCTTCCTATCCAGCTCTCTGCTGTGGCCTGGGAAAGCAGTAGAGGATGGCCCAAGTCCTTGAGCCCCTGCACCCACATGGGAGACCTGGAGGAAGCTCCTGGCTCTTGGCTTCAGATCAGCTCAGCTCTGGCCGTTGTGGCCAACTGGGGAGTGAACCAGCGGATGGAAGACCTCTCTCTCTGTCTCTACCTCTCTCTGTAACTCTGCCTGTCAAATAAATAAATTTTTTAAAAAAAATTAAATAAATAAATGCAGCCTAGAGGTACTGGGACTCACATTCAGCTCCGTCACTGTCTGTGACCTAGGGCAAATCAGGCAACTTCTCAGTAAGTGTTTCCACATCCGTGAAATAGACTTAGTACCAGTATCTCCCTCGCTGGGCTGAGATGAGGACTAAGTGAGTCAACACACATAAAGCACTCACACCACATTGCTGGCAGATTGCAAACATGGCCACAATGTTTTACAGCTTCTCCCACCAAAAGGTAGAGTCTACCGACCCAGCCCCTCAATGTGGGCTGGCCTGTGCCTTGCTCTGACCAACAGAACGTGGCAGATATGAGGGGCAGGTTGCAGTGTAGCCCCTTTGCAACTACTTCTCTTGTTGCAGCTCAGATCATCACTGGAAGAGCCCAGGCTGTCTACTAGAGGTCCTGTGAGGGAAACCCAGGTCAGCCACCAGGCACTTGCCGCCAACCACCAGACACATCAGTGAGGCCATCTGGGACCATCTGGACACCTGCCAGCTGCCTGTCTCACTGCAGATGCAAAGATCAGCAGAACGGTACAGTTGAGCCTAGTTGTGCCGGTGTGAGTTAATAAATGCTCTAACGCACGGAGGTTTTGGGGTGGTTACGCAGCAAAAACTGATCCAACATTGTCATGCCTTTTCTTCTCATCCTCCATTTGATGACTATTTCTATTTGAAATGTTCCTCACTTTCCATTTTTCTTGCAATGAAAAGATGTTTTATATAGAAACTCACTCATATTGTACAAAAATAACTGTTCCAACTATTACTCAAGTATTACTATTTGCTTGTGTTAACTTTCTAAGCCTTCAGTACCTGGGAAATTAATTGCTTATGTTATAGTTGCTACCAAGTTCCTGGAGTGCTTTAGGAATTTTGAATGCATTTACATAATGTTTATATTATATAAACAAAGAATATTAGCAGAGTAATGTTTAAGCTTACTTTTTGCTTGACAGAAGCTCTTTCACATTAATTATAACTGGAATCAATTGTTACATATAAACTACAAATTCAAGAGTCATTAGAGGGTCTGGCATTGTGTAGCTGGTTAAGCCACCACCTGCAATGCCGGCTCTCTTCAAGTTCCAGTTGGTCCATTTTTGATCTAGCTCCAAGCTAATGCTCCTGGGAAGACAGCAGAGGATGGCCCGGGGCCCCCACCCCCATGTGGGAGACCTGGATGGAGTTCTGGCTCCGGGCCTCACACTGGCCCAGCCCTGGCTATTGCAGCCATTTGGGGAGTAACCAGCAGATGGAAGATTCTCTGTCTCTTTCTCTTCCTCTCACTGGAACTCTTCCTTTCAAATAAATAAATGTTTTTCAAAACAGTAATTAGAACCAATGTGCTCATGCTTACTATTTCTGCATCACAGGGAACAGGTGAGCTCCGCACACAAGGTGTAGAAGGAGACTGTCTCCCAGGACTCGTGACAAATGACACTAACTGGAGTCCCCGCTTAAAGGCCCCGGTCAAACAGTTCATGGAAAGGGACATGCAGAGAAAAGAAGAGTAGAAGTGGCATGATCAAGAGACAGAGACCCTGGACCGGGACAGTCCCCACCCAGGGCATCTGGCTTTGCTCGTGCCCAGGTTGCCCAGCAAATTCCGAGACGCTTCTCCAAAGGAGGAATTCTGGAAGGACACCAGGACTTCCGATCCTGGGAAGGGATGTCCGCCACTACACGCAGGGAATCGGGTAGCCTGGTTTATTTCCTTTTTTTTTTTTTTTTTTTTTTTTTGACAGGCAGAGTGGACAGTGAGAGAGATACAGAGAGAGAAAGGTCTTCCTTTGCTGTTGGTTCACCCTCCAATGGCCGCCGCGGCTGGTCTCTCTCTCCGCGACTGTGTGGAGTAGAGTACCCTCCCTGCCCTGAGAAAGTGATCAAGAAGTAAATCTCTCAGTGTCAAGCCACTGAGATTTCAGGAATTTTTTTTATTATAGCATCTATAATTTCTTTTTCTTTTTTTTTTTTTTAATGACAGGCAGAGTGGACAGTGAGAGAGAGAGACAGAGAGAAAGGTCTTCCTTTTCTGTTGGTTCACCCTCCAATGGCCGCCGCAGCCGGTGCGCTGTGGCCGGCACACCGCGCTGATCCGATGGCAGGAGCCAGGTGCTTCTCCTGGTCTCCCATGGGGTGCAGGGCCCAAGCACTTGGGCCATCCTCCACTGCACTCCCTGGCCACAGCAGAGAGCTGGCCTGGAAGAGGGGCAACCGGGACAGAATCCGGCGCCCCGACTGGGACTAGAACCCGGTGTGCCGGCGCCGCAAGGCGGAGGATTAGCCTAGTGAGCCGCGGCGCCGGCCTGGTTTATTTCCGGATAGCATTTCTGTCGAAGCGAAGACATCTCCGGACACGCTCCCCCAACACTGAGGCCCCAGACGAGGCCGATTCAGTCAGATCCAGAATGTTGTGACTCTGCAAGTGCTGCTGCAGAAAAGCCCTGCCAAGCACCCCAGACCACACTGCCGTGGGCATCCCCTAACACGTGTATTAGTTCATCATGAAATGTATGTCCTCTGACCTGGAGTCATCCCCTAGTCCTCTGGGTTTCAGTTTCATCACCCATAATGGTTTAAAATTTTATTTGAAAGGTAGAGAGAGGATGAGACACACACACACACACAGAGAGACAGAGAGAGAGAGAAGGAGCAAAACAGAGATTGATCTTCCATCGGCTGGTTCACTCTTTATATGGCTGCATTGGCCAGGGCTATGCCAGGCCAAAGCCAGGAGCCAGGAGCTTCTTCTGGGTCTCCCACGTGGGTGCAGAAACCCAAGCACTTGGGTCACCTTCTGTTGCCTTCCCAGGCACATTAACAGTGAGCTGGATCGGAAGTGGAGAAGCCAGGTCTTGAACCAGCGCCCATGCAAGATGCCAGCATCACAGGCACAGGCCTAACCTACTACACCACAACACTGGCCCCATAATTACTTATTTTTTAAAAGATTTTTTAAAATTTATTTTAAAGACAGAGTTACAGAGAGAGGCAGATATATAGAGAGACATCTTCCATCTGCTGGTTCTCTTCTCAAATGCCCACAACCGCAGAAGCTGAGCTGATTTGAAGCCAGGAGATTCTTCCGGGTCTCCCACGTGGGTGCAGGGGCCCAAGACCTCGGGCCATCTTCTGATGCTTTCCCAGGTGCATTAGCAGGGAGCTGAATTGGAAGTGGAACAGCCAGAACTCAAACTGATGCCTATATGGGATGCCGGCGCTTCAGGTCAGGACACAGCGCCAACCCTCATAGTTACTTTTTAACATTATATCTTGGGCCCAGCACTGTGGTGTCCTGATTTCTCCTCTTCCAATCCAGGTCTCTGCATGGCCTGGGAAATCAGTGGCAGATGGCCCCAAGTCCTTGGGTCCCTGCACCCGCATGGGAGACCCGGAAGAAGCTCCTGGCTCCTGGCTTCAGATTGGCTCAGTTCCTGCCGTTGCCGCCATCTAGGGAGATAAACCAGCAGATGGTAGACCTCTACCTCTCAAATAAATAAATAAAATCTTTAAAAAATGATTATACCTTTATTTGAAAGACACAATGACACACAGAGAGATCTGCTGGTTCACTCCCCAAATTGCTGAAACAGCCAAGACCCGAGCCAGGCTGGAACCAGGAACTCCACCCTAGTCTCTCACATGGGTGGCAGGGGCCAAGGCTGCATCAGCAGTAAGCTGGATGGAAAGCAGAGGAGCTGGGACCTGACATGGGATGCCAGCGGGGCCACCACGATGCTGGCCCCCAGTGATCATTCTTTGAACGTAGATAATATCTTCCCTCATGGCTTTGCAGGGCAGCCAGGCGTTGGACTCATTTTCCTTCCACTTCAGGTCGCAAAATCATCTTACAAATTTAACAACCCTCCTTTCAGCTGCCTGACTTCTGCTCAAACAGCTCTCTCTTCCACACCCGTAGCTGCAGCCAACACCTGAAACCCTGCACTCTGAAACTTGACACTGCAGGTCCTGCTCCCTGAGCGGTCTCCCCCCATTCAGGTGCTGCTTCCTTTATCCTCTCATGCTGTGACCTCACTAGGCCTCACCTCCACCCTGTTTGTTCCCTCCACCACCAGGGACAGGCTGTGTTCCTTCTCTGTGCAGCCTAACTTTAGCCTCTTTCTGGCGAGGACTGCAAAGTCCTTGCCCTCCAATTCTACCTCTTTCTATCCAGCACATCCCCTCTGTAAACTCAGCGCGTGGGAAGCCAGTGGATGATGGCCCACGGACTCAGGCTGTGGGGGACACTGAATCCGGAGAGGCCTAGAGGAACTTCCTGAGCCTGCTACGAATTTGAAAACCTGACTTTAAGTTTCAAATCCCTGGTAGCGAACACCCCAGCCCCAGGGCGCTTCTGCCTACGGATCATTAAGGTGGTACAATAGGAGTGGCTAGGACCCTTTTGCATCACAACACCCCACCCCTTGCCCGCATCAGCTCATCTGCTCTGTACCATCCACTCTGTACCTCAGCTATGTACACACCTCCTTTTACAATAAAGTGAGACCCTGCTTCGACTGGGCTCCACACCGCGCCTGATTGTCCCCCAGGTTTGGGGAAGGCTGAGTGGTGGGTGGCACACTTCCCCTCCTCGGTCAAGGCAAGCTGCGGGCAGCCTGCCTAATTCTCTGGCGGTGGCGAGGAACAGTCACCGCATCAGGCCCCTGCCTCCCAGGTGAGAGACCAGAATGGAGTTCCTGGTCCTGCGGCCATCCAGGGGGAGTGAACCAACAGATGGAAGATCAAAATCAATCAATCTACCCCCTTCTGTCAATCTGCATTTCAAATAAATAAATCTTTCCCCAAATGTCAGCATACAAGTCTTTTCTCCCATTCCTGGAAACACGAATCCACACATACCCTCAGCTGCTTTCTTCCTGGCTCAGCAGGTACCTCTCCCACCCCAGGGTCTCCAGAGCTTGTACCGTGTCCCCTGTACCTTCAATTCCCCTCCAGCTAAAACTACAGGTCCTTCTTCTCTTCACCTAGAACTACAGGTCCTTCTTCTCGATCCAAAATATGACTTTTCATTTCCAAAATTAAAAACAATAATAGCTATCTCCTCTTTAAAGGAAAAGCCGCGGGGGGGGGGGGGGGGGGTTAAGCGAAACCAAAAACTGAAAACCCACCCTATTATAATCCAGATTCTGCGGCTTCGCTCCACGTCCCTGAAACCACTCGGCATTCTAGAACCCTCTCCTATCCCTCTGCCTTGTTTTATAATCATCAGGCCGCTCGTTATCTGAAATCAGTTTTTAACAGATTGGTTGGTCTGTCTGCAGTTTATCTCCCCCACTACAATCCCTGCTCCCTAGAATCCCGGCAGGCAGAGAAGGAAGGGGCACCCCAAAGGCACAGCAGCGTCCCTTCTCACACACGTTCTGCACGCAAGGCTCTAGGGCCTAAACAGTGACCCAACAGGCGCTTTTTGGTCAACGAACTAGACCGTGAAGCTGTTGACTACGCCCCCGATTTTAAAGAAACCTTCATTTATTTTCATCTACTTGAAAAGCAGGGTGGGGGTGGGATACCCGGAGTCTCCATCCACTGGTTCACTCCCCAAAGCCGGCAACGGCCGTAACAGGGCCTGGCCAAGCCCGAAGCCTGGCACTCCATCTTGCTCTCCCGGGTGGACGGCAGGAACCCAGCCACTGGAGCCATCACGCAGGCTGCCTGGGCAGCAGGACAGACGCGAGATGCAGGCGTCCCCAGCCCCGCCGGGCCACAGGCCTGCGGCCTGCACAGCCCCCGCTCTGTGACTGTCCCTCCTCCCTGGCCTCGGTGGCCTTGCTGTCTCAGGCAACCTGTTCCTTCGCCACGGATGCGGCCGGCCCCTGGGTGCTCGCGCTGGTCTCTGCTCTTCATATAACGCGCATCTTCCATCCCGTACATGTCAAAGACCTCGTTCAGCCGTGGGCAGCGCCAGACCCCTCCTGGATACCCTCGCAAGGTCCACAGACCCGGCACTGCCCTCACCCTGTCCACAAAGCCGCTCCCTGGCCTGCCACGTGAGGCGACGGCAGCGCCATCGCCCCCGTCACCAGGCCAGAAACCCGAGCATCCCCCTCCTCCTCCTCCTCCCCGCCGCTCTCGCCCCTCAGCCACCGAGTCCTGTCCACTCGGGGGCCTTTTCAGCTCTGGACTCCTCGCTCCGGCCCCGGCCACCTCCAGGCCGCCGGCCTGCCGCCTCCCAGTCACTGTCCACGCAGACACAACCCAGGGCGAGCTTCCAGGAGTGGGAACGCCCCCGCGGCACTGGGTCCCGGGCCAGGCCCGCGAGACGGGCCCCGCCGCTGGGCCCACCAGGCCCGGCCCCCGCAGCCGGCCGCCCGCCCGCCCGCGGCCTCCCCGCCCAGCCCGCGCCGGGGCCGGGGTCGGCAGCCATTTCCGGCGGGGCCGCCGGCCTCCTCCCCCGCCGCGCGCCTCGGACGGGCGGGCGAGCGGACGCGTGCGGCCGTGCCCGGAAAGCGCGCTCCCGCGGGCCCGCACCTTGATCCTCTCCACGCCGGCCTCGAGCTTGAGCTGCTCCACCACGCGCTGCAGGGCGCTCACGCTGGCCCCGGAAGACATGGCGGCGGCGCTGGGCTCCGGCGGCGGCTGAGCGGGGCCGGGCCGGGCCGCGAGCTCCGAGCTGGGCGCCGCCCCGGGGCGGGGTAGCAGCGGCGCCCGCCCCGCCGCCCGAGTCCGCTGGGAGCCGCCCGCCAGTGACACTTCGGGGTCCGGAGCCGACTGGCGACGTGTTCGAGTCTCCGTGCCGCCTCTCCTGCGCTTGCAAGCCGAGGCGGGACCCACGGGGCGGCGCGGCGGGGGCCGCCAGGACGCCCCTTAGAGAACCGCGACTCGAAATCCGGGTGAAGACGACACCATCCCCGAGAGGGAGCGGAAGGATGGCCTTGTGGCGGTAGCGGCGGTTTCTGTGCTGCTGCACTCTTGGGTTTCCGGTGCACATTCCTTTGACACACCAGCTCGATAACATATGGAAGGCTTCTTGTCCCGCCCCACCCCCCCCAGCCACCCAGACCCCACATAATGTGTCTCAGCTGTCTTCATCCTTGCACACCATTGTATCGTCAGAACCCACCTGAGTAATTAATACACAAAGGCTGGACATAGAGCTTGCACATCTGTGAAGTCCAGGGACGTTAGCGGACTGGATCACCAGAAATAGCAGTGTCAGGGCTAAGTGCTGGTCTCCTTCGAAGAAACAGATTTAGTTATTACCGTTACAGAGAGAATGTTCCATCCTCCGGTTCACTTTGCCAATAGCTGCAAGGGAGTGAACCACCCAGGCCAAGGTCACACCCCTCCCAGTGTCAGCCCTCACCCCCTGCCTCAAATTCCCACAGCACTGAAGGATCGATCACCCCAGCTCCAGGAGCTCCTGCCGGGATCATTAGGAAGGGCACCTGCCTCGCAGCTCCTCCCCCTGCCGAACCTCCCACAGCTGCTGGTTTCAGGACTCTCCAGTGTTTTTGTGCAGGAAGATCTCCAGCTGTGGGGAACACAAACTAAGACACCCACTCAACACAGACCAGAGCGGGAAGAGTGAGTCCCCAAGGGCAAAATCAGGATAATCAGGATGCTGACCACAGAAGGCGGCAAGGGGCAGGTTTTTGTTTTTGTTTTCCAAAACTCATCTGTAATGGCTGCACGGTAGTCCACTGCAGCTGGAGCATTTATCTACTATCCTACTGTCTTACATCACTATGATCTTAAATGTACAGCTTAAGACATAGCTGTGCCGGCGCCACACCTCAATAGGCTAATCCTCCGCCTGCGGCGCCGGCACACCGGGTTCTAGTCCTGGTTGGGGTGCCGGATTCTGTCCCGATTGCCCCTCTTCCAGGCCAGCCCTCTGCTATGGCCCTGGAGTACAGTGGAGGATGGCCCAAGTGCTTGGGCCTGCACCTGCGTGGGAGACCAGGAGAAGCATCTGGCTCCTGGCTTCAGATCGGCGTGGTGCAGCGGCCATTGGAGGGTGAACCAACGGCAAAGGAAGACCTTTCTCTCTGTCTCTCTCTCTGTCCACTCTGCCTGTAAAAAAAAAAAAAAAAAAAAAAAAAAAAAAGACCTAGCTGTTACATTTCCTTAGAATCCATTCCTGAAAGTGGAAGTGATGAGTAAGAGCCCATTAACAGTTTTGTTACAATATCCTCCAGAGGGTGGTAGCAATTGATTTGCTGTCAGTCTGGAAGGCTATTAAAACTGCCTATTTCTGTGCACTTCCCAACTCCACACTGTGGTTCTTTACCCACGTGACAGATGAAAAATGGTACCTTCAGTTTTTCAAATGTCTTAACTGAGACAGGCGTCACAGCACAGGACAGCAGGGTAAGCCACCACTTGGAACACATGCATCCCAAATGAGAATGCTTGCTGGATCCAGTCCAGGCTGCTCCACTTCCAATCCAGCTTCCTGCTAATGCATCCTGGGAGGCGGCACATGATGGCCTAAGAATTGGGTCCTTGCCACCCACGTGGGAGACCCAGATGGAGTTCTAGGCTTCTGGCTTTGGCCTGGCTGAGCCCTGGCTGTCCTGGGCATTTGGGGAGTGAACCAGCAGACAGAAGATTCAATCTCTCTCTGTGTTGTCCTGCCTTTCAGATAACACTTTTGAAATCTTTAAAAAGCTTAGCATCTTAACTGTTGAGGCTGAACACCACCTCTGTTCATTCTGTGAGCCAGATGTCCCGGCCCTTGGGGTGGTAAAGAGCTGTTCTCCAGTGACAAGGGCAGACCTGCACTCCCGAAAGCCTCTCCGGCAGCAAGCTGCCTCTCCGAGAACTCAGCATGGATTCTGGTGAGGAGCTGGAAGCACACGCAGGAAACACTGCGAGATAAGTAAGACCAAAGAGAATAGCTGTGTGTTGAAAAGATCTGGCAAAGCGCTCAGGGCCAGGACACAGACTAGGGAGATGAAGAAAGGTTCCTTGTCAATGGTGAGACTGGGATGTGAAAACACATGTCTGGCAGGCAACCAGAACAAAGGGAAGAATGTTCCAGTGTGGAAGAGAGCCAGTGGCCATGCACACGTGTGTAGCAGATAAATTAAAAGACAGGGCTGTGGCCGGCGCTCTGGCACAGTGGGTTAATGTCCTGGCCTGAAGTGCCAGCAGCCCATATGGGCGCCGGTTCGAGACCTGGCTGCTCCACTTCTGATCCAGCTCTCTGCTATGGCCTGGGATAGCAGTACAAGATGGCCCCCAAGTCCTTGGGCCCCTGCAACTGCGTGGGAGACCTGGAAGAAGCTCCTGGCTCCTGGCTTCAGATCGGTGCAGCTCCGGCTATTGTGGCCAACTGGGGAGTGAACCAGTGGATGGAAGACCTCTCTCTCTCTCTGCCTCTCCTCTGTGTAACTCTGACTTTCAAATAAATAAATAAATCTTTTTTATTTTTTTTTTAAAAAGGGGGCTCTAGTGAATCTTAGGAAATACAAGGGAACATCAAAAACTGTGGGAAACAATTAAAAGATGTTTATTTTTATACAAAAATATTTTTCAACAAATTCCCAATCTTTTTCATAATACACATTTCCCATTAACTTTTTCAAGGCCTGTCATCTAAAGACAGAAGTCATGGAAAACCTCAAAAAAGGGGGAGAAAAAAAAAACCTTGTAGCTGACAGTGGGACAGCCACGTGGTCAGACACTTCAGGAATATTCAACTGGGATGAAAAGGCTAAAGCTACTGAAGCTGGGGTGAGACTAGGATTCCTGGTGGAAGGGGTGGCTAGGACGAAACCCTGTGATGGCAGGAATGGGGCCGAGGACAAATGCAGACTGTGCCTGGCATCGCGCTGCAGCAGGTTAAGCCACCATCTCTGACGCCAGTACCCCACTGGCACCCTGCCTAGAGTCCTGTCCATACCACTTCTGGTGCAGCTCCCTGCTAATGCACCTGGGAAAGCAAGGGGAGATGGCACAATGCTGGTCATTGTGGCCACCTGGGAAATGTACCAGGAGGTGGAAGATTCTGTCCTTCCCTCTGTCACTTTGCTTATTAAATCCCTAGTTCCCTGTGGTGGTTATGCAATGCACAGCAAGGGCAACCAAAGGCTCTGAGGCAGAGGCCAGAACCAGTGCCAATCAGAGATGAGGAGACGGGGCTTGAGATGAGGAGTGGGAAACGGTGAGCTTGGTTAGGAGACACTCAGTCTTCAACGGGACCGTTACCCACGCGCCCTGGAGGCACAGAAGATGCCTGCCCGCCATCATGTTAACACGAGAGCTGATGTCGCGAGAGGCTCTCACAACCATCACGGAGGGAACCCACTTCAAGGGCGCACAGAAGGAAACAACTCTGTGTGGGCCCACAGAGAAACCCAGAGGCACCGGCTCTCAGGCACCGAAGGGAGGCGAGGCCTGGGTATCACACTTACTCTAGCTCTAAAATTAGACTCCACACGTCCTGTTTCAGCTAAAAACTGACATGTGGGGCTGGCGCAGTGGCGCAGCAAGTAAAGCTGCTGCCTGCAGTGCTGGCATCCCATATGGGCACTGGTTCAAGTCCCGGCCGCTCCACTTCTGATCCAGCTCTCTGCTATGGCCTGGGAAAGCAGTGGAAGATGGCCCAAGCACCCGCATGGGAGACCCAAAGGAAGCTCCTGCCTCCTGGCTTCAGATTGGCACAGCTCTGGCTGTTGCGGCCAATTGGGGAGTAAACCAGCGGATGGAAGACCTCTCTCTTCTCTCTCTGCCTCTCCTCTCTTTCTGTAACTCTGATTTCCAAATAAATAAATCTAAAAAAAAAAAAAAAAAAAAGAGAGAGAGAGAGAGAGAATTAAGAAGCTGTAGCAGCTTAAACTGCCATCAGCAGTGCTGGCATCCCATATGAGTACCAGTTCGAGTCTCTGCTGCTCCACTTCTAATCCAGCTCTCTGCTATGGCCTGGGAAAGTAGAAGATGGCCCAAGCCTTTGGGCCCCTGCACCCATGTGGGAGACCCAGATGAAGCTCCTGACTCCTGTCTTCAGCCTGGCCCAGCCTTGGCCATCTGGGGAGTGAACCAGCGGAGGTAAGATCTCTGTCTCTCCCTCTCTCTGATTTTCAAATAAATAAATCTTTAAAAAAATTTCAGAAGCTGTTTAAAGCTTATAACTAATTATGTAGGTTTTTTTTTAAAAAAAGATTTTATTTATTTCTTTTAAAGTCAGTGTTACATAGAGAAGGACAGGCAGAAAGAGAGACAGAGAATTACATAGGGTTTAAAAAAATTATTCAAAGAGCAAAGTGACAGAGACAGTGAGATCTCCATCTGCTGGTTCACTCTCCAAATGGCCACAATGGTTGAGGCTAGGCTAAGCCAAAGCCAGTACCTCTATCTGGGTCTCCCATGTGGGTGGCAGGAGCTCAAGTATTGCAGCCATATCCACTGCTTTCCCTGGCCCATTAGCAAGCAGCTGGATCAGAACTCGGGCAGTCAGGACTCCAACCAGTGTCAAGATATGGAATGCCGGCATCACAAGCAGCAGCTTAACCTGCTATGCCACAATGCCAGCCATCAATCATCTAGGTTTCTAAATACCGTATCAGTTCTCAGCTGCAGGCAATCTATATACTTTGGACCTTAAACCCATGTGAATTAGGCAGATTTAGATTATAAAATTTTAAACCCTGATTATCTAGATAATCCCCTCCGCTCAGAGATGAGGAAGCCACAAGGTTACATAATGTATTTAGCAAATCTTACTAGTTATTAAGTTTTAAATTTGCCTTACCCCACATTTAGATGTGAAGGGCATAACATTTTGCAAAAAAAAAAGATTATAATTTATGTATAATTTAGTCACACATAACTGGTTTGTATCAATACCAATATTTATTAACCTACCTCAAATGCACAATTATAAATTCAACAGAGACCATGTTTGATTTAATGTCTTAAAGTAGCTAGATCTTATTTATTTAAATAGCCATTTTCCTTTAATTTCCACAGAACTTTCAGTTTGTAGCCAGCAGTCTGATACTTAGCACTAGATGAGTGTTAGCTTAGCAAATCTGTTTCCATTCAAACAAAACACCTTAAGGTCTGGTTGTTAAAAGTTTACTGTGCTGATATTTCTATAGAGGTCCTGTGACCTAAATAGTTCTGCATTTGTATTAAGTTTTATTTTGATATCTAACCGGATTCCTAATCATAGCCCATAAGAAGGAATGTGACTTTAATACTGGCCTTCACTGATATACTCGAGTATCGGCGATTTTTTTTTCCTTTAAATCATAGCCACATGGTAAATTTTCTATTTTGTTAAGATTCTCTTTTATTGATGGGCATGCAGTGGGTATTTCTTGGAAATGGCCAAATTTTTATTAAAATATTTCTGAAAGAAAAAAAAAGTTTACTGTCCTAGGGAGTGGCACTCTGGCTTGCCTGCAGCACCAGCATCCCATATGTGCACTGGTTTGAGTCCTGGCTGCTCCACTTCCGATCCAGCTCCCTGCTGTTGTGCCTGGGAGGACAGCAGAGGATGGCCCAACTCCTCGGGCCCTTGCACCCTTGAAGGAGATCCAGAAGAGGCTCCTGGTTCCTGGCTTTGGCCTGGCTCAGCTCCAACCATTGCAGCCATTTGGGGAGTGAACCAGTAGATAGGAGAGCTCTGTCTCTCCGTGACTCTTTCAAATTAATAAATAACTCTTAAAAAAAAGTTTACTGTCGTTTGAGGTATGTGTGTGTATATATATCTATATGTGTGTGTGTGTATATATATATATAGAGAGAGAGAGAGAGAGAGATTTTCTAAATGAATGGTACCAAAAATAGCTAATTATCCAAACTTAACTTTTTTCAGGTAGCATGTGAAGACGCCTACATAGCAAATACAGTGTCTAAGATCACAGGCTCTCTAATCAATGTGTTGTGAAACTGCAAACCAGTGGGGAAAGGGCTAGCAATGGAGTCTGTTATGAGGATACTGGACATGAATAAATCTTGAAGACCTCAATTACGTGATGTGATGATGACCACAGGGCAATGATCAGCCACTCTCTGTAAATCCTTGAATACCAACCAAAAAGAAAATAGCTGTAACTCTAAAATAAACATGAGAAAAATTTTCTAAACTAGTAGAATCATGGGATTCTCAACTCAGATTCTCCCCCAAGTGCTTCTAAAATGGAGCAGATTTTATTTTACTGGTAGGGGACGGGCAGACAACAGAAATAGTAAAAATACTCAGAGTACATGAACGGTACTTAAGCAGCGGCCCTTCCTTTGCTGTAGGATGTTGAAGTCCACAGTTAAGTTTGTTGAGGGCAGAGAACAGAAGAGGCACAGCCCTGTTAAGGAGAGTCCATTCGTCTTGACTCATGCACTGACCACAACTCCAAAAGATGGACCAAACACTACCAAGTGAGCAGGCTGCCGGGAACAATTCCAAACAGGAGATTTCTAGAAAGACAGGAAGAAATATTAAGTAATCAAGCATTTACACAAAAGACTATCCAAAGACAGGTCGTTTTCATCAGCCAGTCTTTATCAATGCTAATATAGCCTGCCCTATTTCCTCATCAGTAGGTAAAAAACACAGGCGGCCAGAAATTGCTTTGAAACTCTTAAAAGAGGGGCATGGCACCTGCGTTTCCTTTTGGTTCTCCTAATGTAGGGCACAGACTTCCCCTCTTAGATGGGAAGTGCCACTGTGCATTAACAACTCAAAGATGGATGACGCCACAGCCGCCCACCACAACTTTGGAGGGCGTTTATCTGTGCTTAACAGTCGGGCAACTGAGGCTGGCAAGACAGCTGCCTGTATTTCCACTCTCCTAAAATACAAAGGATGCACCCGTCACTTTCACCTTAAGTTTAGAGAAATACAAGTGCATTTCAGAATTTTAGGGCCGCAAAAGGGTCATACTCATAATCTAGTCAAACTCCTTCCTTATTTAAAAAATGTTTATTTATTTTCATTTATTTGAAAGGCACAGAGAGAGAAAGAAAGGCAGACAGATCTCCCATCAACTGGTTCACTCTACAAATGCCCCAACAGCCAGGGCTGGGCCAAGTTGAAGCCAGCAACTGAGAATTCAACACAGTCTCTCGCGTTGGCAGACACCCAACTAATTGAGCCATTACCACCAGCTGCCTTCCACGGTGCACGTTAGCAGGAACCAAGAATTAGAAGTGGAGACAGGACTCAAACCCAGGCCCTCTGAAAGGGAATGTGTGTCCCAAGTGTCCCAACTGCTATGCCAAACGCCCATTTTTATAATTGAGGCAAAAAGGCCCTCACCCACAGATAGAAGGGCTGGCCTCAGGTCTTTGGCTAGATCGGCAAGGATGGAACTCGGCCCTCCTGCCTCCTTCCATCAGTCACGTATTTGGGCTGTACTCCTGAGAACTAGCCTACTTCCAGAAGAAACAGATTCCGCACCTATAAACTACACTGCACTCGCTTTTTAAAACTACACAATGCAAAAGCAGTATGTTCAACTTTAATTAAAATGCCATAACAAGAAACTTACAATATATTGCAACCATTTTATTCCTATGAGGCAATGGGATAAATCCTGTAACAGGGGCATTGGATGCTTCGGTGCAGTAGCATGCTTGATTCAGTCAAATTACGTGTCATTCACTGTCCCTCCTACACACATAGAACACTTACATCTCACTGGCTGACAGAACAGCACACAGCCATGCATCTCTTCTTCCTGGTTAAAATGCACGTAGATGCTCTCATGTACAAGAAACTGCACCACTCAAGGCCTTCAGTGTTTCATGAACAATTTTCCAGTACACAGTTTGTGCCCTGCCATGTTTTGTAACTGAAGGGAAAGAGCAGTGTCAGAGAGAGGCAGACAGGGAGCGATACTGTGGTACAAAGGACCTTTGTACAAGGTCCTTTCTGGAGAAATGTCTGAGAACACCATTGCAGTCCTATAATGAGACCGTCATCAGGATCATCCTACAAGGACATGAGGGTAGGCTTGCTCTCCTGGAGAGTTTCTGATCTTGTTCAGGATTCTGATGATGGGGTGTTATAAAGACTCTTCTAGCACAAGACTCTCCTAGAGAGGTTAGGTCGGATACATTTCAATCCTATCACAGCTTTTAATGAAGATGACATGATAATCAAATCATTCTGCTAAGGAAGTCGGTGTCTAGAAAGATACAAAAATGCAGTTCAATGCTGTTATAATTTTTCTGTTTTGTGAAAATAGAGAGACCATGAGAGCAGAAAAATGCAGCCCTGAAACAAAAAATAAGGAACCACTTAAAGAATAAACACTTAACACATAAAATTTTAAATGGCATCTAATAAATTTTCATGTCAAATCTTGTAACTAAACATATAAAATTTGTAAATGACAATGAATAAATTTCATCTCAATTTTTTTTTAACAAAAGCCACAAATAGATTATAAAAATTGAACAGTTGTAAATGTCTTATGTATAAAGTTTTAAGGGAAAGTTTCAATGTCTACATTATTCTGTGTAATCAAATCCTTGAGGGATTTCAGTTACTGCTGAGGAGCAGCTGATAACTTTCTAAAATAATTCAGTTATGAGAACAACATCACAATGAACATTTGGCACAGGAGCACTCGGCCAGTCTTCAGTCATCCACAAACGTTAGCCGCCCGGGCCCTTCATTCTTCATCCAGCGCCTGTATCTCTTCCATCTGGGGTCATTGGCCAGTTTTTTCTTTAATTCTTCTTCCTGTTCCTGTTTATACACCTATCCACATAAGAAACCACACTAAATGACTCTACAGTGCAGAGGTAACATGGCCATTAGCTTTACTGCATATTTACTTTTTTCAAATGTAACTTTAGGTAAAAGTTTCCAATGAATGTATTTAATGGTTTGTCTTCTGTAATCATTCTCCCCAAAACGCCAATCAAGTAAGTGTTTTAACATTCAGTGTTATGAAAAAATAACAACTCACTGATTTCTGTAATCTGGGAATACTTTATTTTCTTCATTGAAATCACGCATAAGCTGAGTTTAAAAGGACTCACCAATTCCTTTCTACACCATTAGAGAACCAACTATTAATTTTAACTGATAACTTTCAGATCTGCTGATCTTAACCAAGGAAAAAAATACTCTCTCCAAAATGAACTTACATCTACTTTTATCTTCAAAGATAATTACTGGCTTATCAAAACATCTTTTGTTAAAGTTTCCAAAGAAGGTTAAATAAACTACCCGGATTAAGAACAAAGAACATCTGTATTTCTAGAACTTTAGTGGATGCCAACTGAAGCTAAATGTACTAGCTGACACAGTTTCACAGCCACATCAGACTTGACTTTATGAAAACTATTTAATGTTCACTTATTTGAAAGGCAGAGAGACAGAGAGAATCTTCCGTCAGTGGATTTCACTCCCCAAATACCCACAACAGCAAGGGCTGGGCCATGCCAATCGAGAAACCTGACACTCGATCTAGGTCTCCGCCCACCCGAGTGTCTGAGCCATCACTTGCTCCCAGTAGGAGGAAGCTGGAATTAGAAGCAGGACCAGGACTTAACAACTGGGGCTGCTATAGGATGCAGGCAACCCAGGCAGCAGCTCAACTGCTGCACCACATGTCCTAGCCTACATTAGATTTTAGCAAGTACCTCGTTTACTTTCAGATACTAGGAAGTAATGACTAAAATAACCTCGTATAAAATACATGTAATCCTGCACAGGATAGAACTCTGAGACACAGTTTTGTGGACTGGGCCTGTTTAATCTATTTAGAAAACTTCTCAACTAGCTTAAGAACTAAATAGTATTCTACCTTTGATTTTTATATTATTTATAAACAGGTTCATAAATCAACTTTCAAAAACATTTGGCAATTCATAGTAAGTTAGCTTACTTAAATATAATTCAAGCCAAAAGTTTATTTTCAGTAAAATCTATTTAAGGTATCACAAATAAAAATGAAGGACTATGAAACTGAAATAAACAAAGCCCAGATTTCTAAAGAAGGTTCCACTGTGCTCCAGTCCTGTATTTGTGAAAATGCCCAAAGTTTAGGGGCATTACAATCAGACAATCTACTTTAAAAATAAAATAAAATATTGTAAATACTTGTTACTACAGTACCATCTATGCTCAACTGAAATGAACAGTTCTTTCAACAAAATGTCCACCTCTTATTCTAAGTTAAAAAAAAAAAAAATCTCTGTAACTATGTTTACAATAATTGGAGCAAAATTTGGGTAGGACTAAATTACAGCTGTTGCCAGCAACGGAAACTTGTAACACTCTTGCAGACATATTGTCCCACGCAGTTTAACACAACAAATTAAGGCTACGGTTAAAACTATCTTCAGAATTAATAAAGTATCTGAAATCCATCATTTACAAAGACAAATTCGATGTTAAAAACCCCCTGCTCCACTACCAAATGCAGTTGTACTTTCAGTCCTGCTCAACAAAGATCTGGGGCCAAGGTTATGGTGGAGTAGGTAAAGCTGGTTCTAGTCCCAGCTATTCCACTTCCAATCCAGCTCCCTAGTGGCCTGGGAAAGCAGTGGGAAGATGACACAAGGGCCTGGGCTACTAGCACGCACAGGGGAGACCTGGAGGCAGCTCCTGGCTCTTAGATGCGGCCTGGCCCAGCCTTGGCCTTTGTGGCCATCTGGGGAATGAACCAGCAGATGGAAGAGCTCTCTCTCTGTCTCTCCCTCTCTCTAACTCTGACCTTGAAATAAATAAATAAATCTTTTAAAAAATAAATTTTCTATTTCTTTACCTAGCTCTTGGATTTTAGAATCTGAGCACACCTCTGTGACCCCTCACCACGCACCCCATTGTAACTTGGTATGGATGATGCTAGGTCACAGCAGAATAACTACTCACCTCATAATTCTCCTTTATCCAGAGCTCCCTTTTAAGAAATGTTTCTTTTTGATGATCTTCTAGGCTATCAAACTGAGATTTTGACATCTTCATAAATTTACGAATGATGTATAGTCTCTCCTCCTCCCCATATTCTTTGCCTTTGATGTTAAAATTATAGATCCACCGGCAGTACCAGGCGATATATAAGCACAGGTGAAAAGGAGCTAAGAGAATTTGAAACAGGAGAAGATCACGTATTTGAGGTTTCTGGTAGCCTCCTTTTATGTCTATTTTACTTTTTATAATGTTCTTGATAATGTTCTCCTCTTCATCACGCATTTCCTCTTTGGACTTTTTGTTTTTTCCTTTTTCTTTGGCTTTTTTGAGCAGTCCCTGCTGTTTGGCGATCTCTGTAGCTTGGATGCGGTATTTGGGCACTGTGGCTAGGTAGCTGATTGCCTTATTGTAGCTATTCCACCAGCTGAAAAACTAGAATATTTAACAAAGAAAACATGTCATTTTTATCATCAAAATTCATCTGAATTAAAGCAATGGTAGAGAACCTTGGTGAACACCATCACATAAGAAACCCATTCAGATTAAAATTGAACAATGCCAACGTGTCCCTGGATCTCAAGGCTGGCTCAGAAAGGGGAGCTCCACTGACCTCAAGACAGGAGAAGCCCACGAGCAGAGGGTGTGCCCACGGCATCACACACTCCTGTGACGTTACATCTTGACTATCTATTTGGCTCTTCCCTGGATCACTACCTCCTTTTCTTTTTTTTTATTTTCAAACTGCAACCTACTTACTAGAGGAAGAACTACATGGCAAAAACTAGCTGCTGAGAAATTGGTTGAGCATGCAAATGACTACGCTCCTTCCTACCTCCTTCCTAGACCATCTATATATACCATGCAATGCTTATCCCAGTCTGAACTGAAAGATCCAACGTGTTTCAATTCTGCTGGTGTGGACAGGAAAATGTTAACTTACTTCATAAATATATTCAATCACAAAGGATTGTTATCAAAAACAAACAAAAAAGCCCTGATCCTCACATAGTGCATCTACATATTTGTTTCTGTTTTACTGAATGAATGTAGTAGTTATATAAATAACATCCTAAAATAGTATAATAGCAAACCATTAAGAATAGCAAAACAAAACAGTTACCTGGGGATTCTAACAAAAAAGTAAAATGCCCTCTGCTCTCTCCTTTGTCCAGCAGTATTTCTATGAAAACTGACACATTTAAACCATATGAACAAACTCCTATAGGCATTCTTGCACCATACCATCATTCAACCAGAGAAGTCATATTCAAACTAGCACATTGCTTCATTCTAGTCACCTGACTTGTTCTTTTCCTTCAGGCTGAGTTAAATTTTTGTGAATTTTAAAACAACCCAAAAAAGTGACATCTAATCCATTTCAGTGGTTTTGAAGCTGAGCAGAAGCACCCTCAGGGGGCATGTGGAAATATACAGCCAACAGTGGTTGTTCCAGGGACGGCCAGCACCCCTGGCACAGGTGGATGGGAGACAGGACCTGTTAGACTATTTAAAAGTTGGGATTCTTCTCAAGTTGAACGGGAAATCACTGGAAGGTGCATGATCTGGCTGCCATTCAATTTGGCTGCTATGTGGGAAATACTCTAGAAGGGGCAGTGAGAAAGGATTTAGGGTTTTTTGTTTGTTTGTAGTTACATAATACTATTCTCCATTAATTTCTAAGATTTTCCCTTGGCAAAAATTTCAATACTGTCAATTGGTTGAATAAATGTTTTTCTAACGTAAAATATAAATTTTAACTGCAAGTGAACTTGTACGAGAGTACCTACAGCTCAGTTTTAAGGGCTAGCACTCGGCCACGTGCCCTCACGCACATGCACACAGACAGGTCCGTCGATACACACCTGAAACACTGAGATAGCACACACACTGACCAAAATCACTACTCTCACATCCACTTTCGGGGCTAGGCGCCTGCTGTAATAATGGTAGTAATGGCTGTAGTACTCTTCCGGATGATCCAGCATGTAGTCATAATCCTTCCGTGTTTCTTCATCCTGTAACACGACAAGACATCCAATTTCATTGCACATTTCAGTAAATGGCCTTGCTTTATCATCTGTTAAATCTATAATTCTGTAATTACATTCGATTAAGCTGAGTAAAAAAGAACTGAAACTGTCAAAATCAAAAAAGTTACCAAAGGCATACAAAGATTTTATTTCCATAACTTCAACATGAGGTATAAGAGCATAACAGAAACATTTCCCCAAATTCCTGGGTACGGTTAGTCCTCCTGGGAAAACAGAAACACTTTAATAATAACTAATCGTGCCCCTTTCGTGGTGCTAACAAAGATGTCACATGTTCCTACGACTTAAGGCTGACATCTACTCTCAAGGACTGACAGAAAAATGTATATCACAGATATTTGTTTACACAAATATATTCACAATCATGTTCAAGTCTTGCGTAGGCTTTCTGTCGAAAGCAATGATTAAGCAAAAAGCAGATGAAATCAGCTTGTGCCTACAAAACTGAACTGTGCTCCATTTCAAAGAAACACGGGGACATGCATGTAGGACAATGGTCAGAGTCTGGCTTTTTGACCTTGGTCAAAATACGCGGCCTCGCCGAGCCCTGCTCTTCATGTATAACGGCTGCCCTACTCTTCCTACTTGGTTGCTTTAAAGACCAAATGACACACATTACTCAAAAGCATGTTGCAAACATGTTGTGCTTTACTATTTTAATACACTGTCACAGCCCAGTTCATAAAGGACTAGCATACAGATCACGGACAGAATTGCAGCATTCGGAAATGTTGCTCCGAGTGCCCACACATAGGGCATTCCCTAAAGTCCCCTCCAGTTCTAGCCAATTTCTTTCTTTTTTTTTTTTTTTTTTTTAAGATTTATTTATTTATTTGAAAGGCAGAGTTACAGAGAGGCAGAGGCAGGGAGAGAGAGAGGTCTTCCATCAACTGGTTCCCTCCCCAAATGGCCACAACAGCCAGAGCTGGGCTGATCTGAAGCCAGGAGCCAGGAGCTTCTTCCAGGTCTCCCACAAGGGTGCAGGGGCCCAAGGCCTTGGGCCATCTTCCGCTGCCTTCCCAGGCCATAGCAGAGAGCTGGATCAGAAGTGGGGCAGCTGGGACATGAACCAGAACCCATATGGGATGACGGCACTGCAGGTGGCGTCTTTACCTGCTACTACACAACGTAGGCCCCTAGTCAATTTCTAACAAAGATAAATGCTGATGTTTTATGACATTACATAGGTTTAGGAGCTATTCAACAAGGTCACAGGTGTGCTTTGTATTCCACAGGAAACCCTATTTTTCACCTTATCCCATTTCAAAAAAATGTTAAAGATGAACACTAAGACCAAAACAAAATCACTAATATGTGACTGTAGTCAAAACCATGACAGAATTAAAAACCTTTTTTAACTTAGAGAGTTTTTTCGTAGGAGGACTTCTCCAAAATTCATTAAGTTGCAGGTTCTCAGCCAACAGCATTTCAAAATCCAAACCTAGTGCCTTGCTACCACACAGATGCTCTGAGGTCTGTTCACAGCCTTGTCAATATGTAGTTTCTTAGATTTAAAATAAGAAGTTGGCTAATGACAAAAATCTTCTCTGTAGCCATTAAAATCAGTATATATCTTCTACTGAGTTGAATTTTAGTGAGAACATTCTCAGTAACAGTTCTACCTTCATTACACTTAAAATATTTTTTACCTCTCACTAGAATATGAAACTGGATAAACTCATATCTAGCTTAATTGGATATGCATGTACTTAGAGACTACTTCATGGTCCTAAACGGAAAGCCAGTATGAGAGCAGCCTGTGACATGAGGAGGGGTGAGTTCATTCGGCTATTTCCAAGTCAATCCTTGGATATCTCTCCTGCCATATCGGTTTTCTGGTGGCAACTGTCTTTACACCACTACTCCTTCTTTAAGCCATCGTCACCAAGGTCCAGAGCCTCCCGCCTAGAAGGAGCGCACAGAAGTCACGCAGACAGTCCTCGGACTAAAGGTCCCATCTGTTAAAGTGTCTTCATCGTCAGTACTTCAAGGTATCCTTCCAGAACTCTTCCTCTCCCGCCTTTTTGGCTTTCTGGCCCTGCTTTTGGTCTGAAATCCTTGACTTTAACTCAGCCTCCCAATCCCGGCAGCTGCCTTCTGAGACACGGCTCTTCTTGCTCGCACTAGATTACAGTAGCTGAGAGCAAATGTTGCACTAAGATCAGCTTTCTGCGCTCCTCCAGCACGAGCGCCTACGTGAGCCCTGTGCCAGTCTGGCCGTGAGCAAGGTCTTCGAGCGTCCTTGAAATCTGCTATGTGGATGCCACGTGTCCAACAGCTACTCTCTCTTCTTTGGTCTCTTATGCGGTGAAGGTCATGTTCCGTGGGATGCAGATATCATCTCCCTTCAAGCACTTCACCCAGATCTGCCCCAGGGTCACCATCCTCTCACCGCGATTTCACCACGTCCTGACCTCCTCCGAGAGCACTGTCACCAATCCTCCAGCACCCGCAACTCCAGGATCTACACCCTGGCCTCTCACGGCGAGCAGAGCCTGTGCGGTCTATTCAGGGCCCCGAGTGAGTCCTCAAAGCACTGAGTTCCTACAAAATACCTCAGAGTCAAGTCTGACTCTCTCAGGATAGCTTCTTTTCCCTGGAGTCACTGTGAATTTCTGACACTGCTTTTGGGTCACGATTAGACAGACCAGAAAATCAGCCACACAAGGCAAGCAGTTAACTTAGTGGTTAAGACATACAAGTCCTGTGTTCAGTTCCTGGCTCTGGCTCCTGACTCCAGTGTCCCACCAATGCAGACCCTAAGAGACAACAATAACAACTCAAATAATTCAGTCCCTGCCACCCATGTGGGAGACCTAGATTATGTTCCCAGCTGCTGTACACATCTGGGGAGTAAACCAGAGAATGGAACTTGCTCTCTCACAATCTGTTTCTTAAAAACTTTTTTTTAACTGAAAGTTGGCCACTACCTTGCTCTAGTATTTGTCTGATCTATTCACTCTTCACTCTGGGACTTAGAACTTTCATATACTTCAGCACAAGTTCCAGGTTGACACAGACTGGTACTAAAGGAGTTCAATAGCCTAATCAAAAGGCCCATTCTTCAGCAACCCACAGAGTTTAGAATTAAGCCAGTAAGAACATGAGGGTATCAGCAAAGGAAAGACAAAACAAAAAGGACCGTCTTTCTCTTGAGGACTCCGAGAGTTAAGGTACATTCTTACTCGAACAGCATGTATGTATTTTTTCCCCAACCCAACCTGGAACTAGGTTTCATTTTTTATCTCCATTGCTTCCCAGTGGCCAAAGTAAAAATTTCCTTGGCATGCAATGAGGCCTCCACAACTGACCCAAACTCACCTACCTAACAACCTCTCTCATCACTCTCTCCCCTTTCCTCCACTGCAAACATCCAGAGAGGAATTTCTAGAATTTGGTGTGTTCTTCCAATATGACATGCTTTTTCATATCCGTGTTACTGAAAACTCAATTCTCTCTTACTTCAAGTCCATCCCTTCCTTCCAACCCCATGAGTTCCTACGAATGCTTTGGGGTATAAGTGTTACTGCCTCAGACCCAGCTGGGCCTCTCTTGTTATGCTTAGTACCTATTTATTATAGCACTTATCACATTGTAATTATCAGCTTTCTCTTTTCCTGGAATTTCCAGAAGGTAGGCAGCGCAACTCAGTAATCTCTGTATATCCAAGGCCTAGCACAATGCCTGGCATTCAGTCAATGTCATTTAAAAATGAGTGACATTTTATAAAGGGGTGGCCTCACTATTCACAGGGCTGGATGAGTGATTATGTCACAAAAACTTCAGCTTGCCAAAAATGAGTGCTCGAATTCATAGCTTAAGAAAAATATGCTTTATGTGGCTAAAATAGCTTAAACCTTAGAACAGTTTAATATCTTACCTTTCAATAAGGTAGTACTTTCTCTTTCAGCAAGTTTGTGGATCTTAAGGTCCCAGGGTCAGGAGATTCCAACTTCTTTCCAAAACCAAAACCTTTATACTGGCTTCTTCCTCCTCTCTGTCCTGAGCCTTGACAAGCAGGGCAATAAGCTCCTTGTTTCTAATCTCTACTGGAATGAACGTGCTGCTGCTGGAGTCCACTCCACTCCCAATCCTCGTGGGCATAGGCAGGAGGACTGGAACATAACCACCAACATCCAGGTCAAAAGTGAACAAGAGGAAACCCACAAGCAAAGAAAGCACAGAATCCTTCCTTCTCTGACGAAGATGACCGTCGTCCCCCCTCCCCAGAGGCAAAACAGATTATGCCCTTGCCCTTGAAGGAAATAATGAACTGATCTCAAGATAAACATAAATGGCAGTAAGTCAGTATTGCAGCCAGTTTCACGAGAATTTTTTTTTTCTGTTACAGAGTGTAGAAACCATTCTTGAATGGTAAAGGCCAGGAACTGATAATATAAGAAAATGTTAAAATATTTTGTTCATATTTACAAATATATATTCATGTTATTTTTAAAAGAAACACACACACAGACACAAATGATCCTTTAAAAAAAAAACAAAACCTCTGAGCCCCTAAATGTTCTCCTAGGTCACTATATTCTGCTACAGAGGAAGAAAGCTAACTGCTCTCAGTTTCACTTCTGCTCTCGTTCTCTGCCCGGCAGTCAGCAGCGCTACTGTCTTCTCACGTGGCTTCTCTTCTCACTCTACCTACGTCTCAACAACCTGCAAGACCAGGATACCTGGATGCAAGTGGCACGCTCGCTTTATTTATTTATTTATTGCCTTCTCCTATTTTTCAACTACAACCTACATTTTCTACGTGTAACAGAAACATCTCCAATACGCTCAAAACCCGAATCAATTCCTCTGTGTTTTAGTTACATATCCCCTTCTACTTAAGTCCCCTGACCTTTTGAAAACCTTAGTCATTCTCAATTCGGCCACTAATGATGTGCAAGGCATCAGGCCTTGTGCTGAACACAAGAGTCAAAGCCGAATGAGACAAGGTCTTGGCCTGG